CCATGGAGAGATCCCATTTACATCCATAAAATTGGCCCAAACTTCTTAAGTTTTATGAAGATTTGAGGGAAATGGGAGCCATTATATATTTATTGCAGGTGAGAGTGCAAATTTACAGAACTGTTTTAGAGAGTGTTTTGAAGCCTAATTAGGCCTGGATTTAGCAGTATCTAATTTTCTTTCTCCTTTCTTCTTACTTCCCGCCCTCCTTCCCTCCTTTCTTCTCTTCTTCCCTCCCTTCCTGGCAGAGATTGTATGCTATTTTCAAGAGAAATAATTGTTCAGGCTGTAACAAGCATATACAGAGGTTTTTCTAAACTGACAAAATTTTTACTGATTCTATAGAAAAGCTTCTTGAAATTATAAATTATTTTCCTGGTAGTTAAGTTTCATCAAAAGGGGTGTATGTAACTCATTATATAATTGAAAGTTAAAGTAGTTATAGTATTTCAAATTACTTAATTCATGCTTATAAAATTGGTCTGTGATAAATTATGTAATGAATTTAATAGCCTTTTGAGGCTAAAACTACATCCACCCCCTCACTTCTACAGTGAAAGTGAGGATAGAGGAAAAGATACCATACTTCTACTGGCACGAGTGACATGATAATTCTACCTCTGAAGTAGCTAAGGTAATTTTCTAGCTGGCTACTTCCTAGGTATGTTGACAATTCAAGATCAATATTTTTAACCATGAACCTGAGACCTAATAGGAAAAAAAATTGTTATGAGAACAAGATGGATCTGAAGAGTGAACTTGAACTCTTCATACATTCACATCTCTGTGTTGAGTATCAATTGCATTAGTCTACTCAGGCTTACCATAGACTAGGTGGCTTAAACAATAGAAATTTATTTTCTCACAGCCTGGAGTCTGGAAGTCCCAGATCAAGGTACCAGCACGGCTGATTTCTAGAGAGGCATCTTTTCTTTATTTTTTTTTTGGGGGGGCTTACAGGTGGCTGCCTTCCTGTTATATCCTTGCATGGCCTTTCCTCTGTGTGTGCACTCCTGGTATCTCTTCCTCTTCTTATAAGAACACCAGTCCTATAGGATCAGGTCCCCACCATGATCACCTCATTTAACCTTGATCATCTCTTTAAAGGCCCTGTCTTCAAGCATAGCCACTTTGGGGGGTAGGGCTTCAACATTTAAACTTTGAGGGGATGCACTTGAGTCTGTAACACCAGCTATGTGCCTGCCACTGTAGTGAACAAAACAAAGATGCCTCTGCTTGTGGGGCCTGAGCTAGGGGGAGGTGGAGTACAATAAATAATAATTATAATATGTTAATAAATTATGTAGCTTGTTAGAGGGCAGTAACTGCTATAGAAAAAAGCAGAGAAGGTGAAAGGGATCTGGAGTGCTGGCATAGGCTTTGGGGTAGGTGACAGTTTTTTTCTTAATCTTTTAAAAAATGTTTATTTACTTTTGAGAGAGAGAGAGAGAGAGAGAGAGAGCATGAGTGGGGGAGGGGCAGAGAGAGAGAGAGGTAGAAACACAGAATCTGAAGCAGGCTCCAGGTTCTGAGCTGTCACCACAGAGCCCCAAGGCAGGAGCTCAAACTCACAAACTGCAAGATCTGAGCCCAAGTCCGCCACTTAACCAACTGAACCACCCAGGCGCCCCAGGGGAGGTGACAGTTTTAAAACAGGGCAATCAGATTAGGCCCTTTTGAGTAGCTGACATTGAGCAAAGCCTTGAAGAACATCAGGCAGTCAGCAATATAGATATCTCCTCTTGTTAAATCTGGTGTTCATTCAGTTGAGAACAAGAGGAACTTAGTGAGAAGCTTTGAAAGACATGATTCAAAGTCAGAATACCTTGGTTTAAGTTCTAACTTTGTGTGATTCAGGGCAAGTTAGCCGCTGCACTAAATTACATAACCAACACCACACTTTTAAGGAATTCCAGATGCCAGGACATTCCAGAGCTGATCATCCCTGTTTCAGATGAAAACTGAAAGAACAAATTACTTCAGTGATGCATTGGAACCCTATTCGGGGATCACTGTCTAATTGCTAAACTTATCAGGTATGCGTAGTTTATCTGCTCAGCCCCAGAGGCCTTTCATTGCTCCCTTGGTTTCACTACACTGGCTGTAGCATAGTACTTGCTTTGGTGTGGAAGATCAAGAATGACCTCATTAATTATATTGATAAATATGTCAATCAGAGGCATTCCAAAAGGCTTTTCATTTGACTGTAGGGATTAGTGTGGCTTGGGCAAGGAAAAGTTGTTGATGAAATTCAGCTGTTCTTCACTAATGTAAAATATCAAGAATTTATGGGCCATGCCTAGAATTGCACTTTGCTCAGCAGCTAGGAAAATAATTCTGTGAAATCTTGATTGTCCATACCAATAAAAAATAAAAATATCAAAGACTAACATACAGGAAATCTCACCACAGAAAGGGAAAGATAGCAAAAGAGACACCTTGGCCAAATGGAAGAAGTAATTCTCAAAGGGAGCAGCAGAGGAGATCAGGAAGCCCTAACTGAAGATCAGGCCAATTGACCTGGGAGCAGCTAGAGCAGGGAATGAGGGAAAAGAGAAATTTAGGCAATCTATGAATATTCATTAAGTATAAAGTGGATAATACAGGGATGTCCCCTCTTCTTTTTTAAACAAAGTGTAAATAGGCAGAATATAATTCCTTAGATTCCCTTATTCTATAAATGAAATGCATCTTCTTTGTTAGACCCTGGACTAAGCTCTGGAGAGTAGTAGCAAATAACCTAGTCCCTGATTTTCTAGAGGATTACTGTCTAGTCATCAAGACATGACAGTAAACCCACACGACCCAGCGTGACAAGGCCCCATTATGTACAGGGAACTCTGGGGCCCTGGAAGGCAGCACCTAGCCCGGGGCAGAGGGTGAGTGAGACAGGTGGGGAAGATTTATTGGAGCAGCCAAAACTATGCCTTCACACTGTCATTCAACAAAGATAATTCAGCAATCTCGGCATGATAGATAGATATTTGCGCTCAACTCGAGGGATGGATGAAATGCATTCCAACTTTAGAGGATTTGGACTCTGGTAAAGGGAAACACATACAGACAAGTTCACTAGCATGTAATTAGGTACCAAGGGGGAAGTTATATAAAGAATGCAATAGCAGCACAAGTCTGTTCCACTGTGTTTGGGGTTACTGGTGTGAGGAAATGCCCGGTATCTGGGGAGATGAACAGGTGTGCAGCTTGGGGAGGTGGGGAGTCAGGCCACTGGAGTAGATGAAACACCCTGAATGAAGGTAAGGGAGCAGGCACAAATTGTAGAAATATAAGTAGATCAGTTTGGCTGCATTTGATGGCGTGTGAAGAAGGGGGAGAGGGCTTAAAATAGAGAATAAAAGCAAGGCTTTGTTGGCCCGGAGAAGGCCTTGGTTTATTCCGTGGACCTGTGGATATATATGTAAGGGAGAAACAAGATAAATATTCAGGAGCTAAAGCCAGAAAGCAGAAATCTAGAGATGGAATCATTCTGGCTTCAGTATGGAGGATAGTTAGGAGTAGGAAGGCACGAGGGTAGCAGGTATCAGTTAGGAGTTTCACATTAGCCTGGGCGCCAAATGAATCAAGACTGTGTTAGTGAGGAAAAAGAAATACGAGAGGAAAACTAATTTTCAAGACATGATAACTGATTGTATGACAAAGATATTTTGGAGGAAAGGGGCCTGCATGACTCCTTTTCATCTGTTGGTGCAATTGGGTGATTAGCCAAGCTTTTCCACGCGGTATGGATTATTCAGCAGAAGGTAGAGTTTAACAAACTTTACAACCATTGAAAGTATAAATTGCTTAATAGATTTTACATTCCTTGAGTGGAACTACTACATTTTTAATCGTTTTAATCTGTTCTAGTGTAATTTTGTAGAATGTGATGAAATAATGCTTCAACCTAAACTAACCTGATGTATAAAATGTATGTAAACCTTTGGGTTAAAAAAAATACTGAAAAATGACCACTGTTCTAGCGGTATGCATATTAAAACAATATTAGATTTGCAATGCTACAACTTTTATGGTTTTTTGCATTCTCTTTCAAAAGAAAACGAGCACTGGTGTTACTGGAACATAAGCTAAGGTAGCAGTTTTACTTGGGGGGGGGGGTTGGGAAAAAGCATAACTGGCTTGCTTCCGTGGCATAATTCAACTAATTTCACCAGTAGTGGTAGCTTCTTCGATTATTAGTTTATTCTACAAGAGAGGGCTATCCTTTATTCCTGTATTATAGCTGTTCAAAGACTGAGGTTTAGAGATGGAGTGAATTTATAAGAGCTAACTCTATCGAGAAAGTTTTATGATAGTGTTTCATCAATAATGCTCAGTTGACAAAGTAATTGCTATTTCAGGCCCTTTTGGCCTGAAGAGTTTTTGTTCTGAATCTGTGGTTTAAATGCATAACAAAAGAAAGGAATCTTTAATGGTACTTGCTTTGAAATTAGAATGTGATTACTTTAAAGCACTAAGGATAGTTTTATTGCCTTAAACTATTTTTAACTGCCATTCTTTTTTAATGGTCTCTATAACTGCATGCTGTGAGAAGAAAAGCTAGTACAGAATTCACTTTGGTTGAGAGTTAGGTGAAGACCTGTGGGGAATTGCAGGACAGATCTTATTTTTTTGACCTAGTGATCATTAGCCCTTTCCATGCCTTCCCTAAAGCTTGACACAGGGGTGTTTCCAGCGCAACATTTTTAGCCTAATTGGACCAACCAGCAGTGTAAGGCCACCAGAACTTTCATTTTATGAAGCTGAGTGATTTTTGAGAAAGGACTGATGGAGTCAGTGTGAACATGCCTCACACATAGATACGTCTTTCTTACATTCCTTGAAACATGTTAGAGGCATAGGAACTCTGTGTCTGACATACAGTGGAGTCTGAGATCTTTGTAATCTGCAAGACTGAAAAGAATAACAGTATCTGTTTTCTGAGAGTGTTGTCATTTCCCAGGAGTTTGTCCTAGAAATAGGTCAAGATGAAGAGACCCTACCCGGCCATACATGCTCTGATATGCCTCTGCAATCATCAGCCTTTGTGCGTTACAACGTTGAGTTAGAATGTCGATCAGCATGTCTTTGTCACAGCCTGGAAAAGAATAATATTTGAAGATTAGTAAAGTTGCTACTTTGTAGTTTGGAAGAACCCATTATCTAAGGATCAAAAACCATTGTGCGAGCATTTTCCCTGATGGTACTTTAAAGCAGTGAGCAATTTTAACTAAAATTGGAAATCACAGAGCAACACTTGATGAAGGCTTGGTTCTTCCTATCTCTCAATTTGGTGCTATTACTACAGACTTTCCTTTAAAAGGATCCAATTAAAAAATACAGAGGAATAAAAAATATGGTCTTTCTTCAGCCATCTCTCCTACCCCACTGAAAAAGGCTTCCTTGACTTTAGGCTGATTGGTGTTTAAAGGAGTACATCTTTCTCATTTAAAAGATCCTTCCTTGTGGAGAAAGAAATTATGAAAGTACAAGGGATGCGTACCCTTGTGCGGGACTGTGTGAACCTCTCATGGTTTGCACGGAATATGGTCTCTCTGTCCTGCAACCAAGGCTGTTTCTGGGCTGTATGAGGCCTCCATTTCCTTATACGCCAATTCATTATACTGATATAACACCCGAATGCACAACTAGTTTAGATAAATTTAGTTCTGATTACAGTCATAGCAGAGTGACCAAGAAGGCCTTAACATTTGCCTCAGCTTGACCAAAATTTAGACAGGTTTCTTTCTGACTGTAAGCCCTTGCTTGATCTCCCCTTCTGAGAGCATTTACTTTGGAAAACTTGCAACTGTAATTTCGTTTTCCTTTGAGATATAAATCTTCTGTCAAATCACTTGCCAGTTTACAATCCAGAAATGTCTTTCCCAAAAACTTGGGAGCCATCCCTTTGAAATATAATCATCAAGAAAGATAAGAATCCCTATCTCCCAGTCTCCGTGGGAGGGTTAAGAACCTAACTTTCTTAAGTACTAGTTAGCAAACACAGATGGCCTAATCACATTGACAAACACCCCCGACTCCCAGAGTTCTCCAATACTTTCAACTAGTTCACTGCCCTCCTACCACTCGGCTTAAAAACTCTTGCCATTTGTTTCAGAGGAACTGAGTTCAATCTTTCTCCTCTGTTGGTAAAGTCTTGATTTCTGTTGCAATAGTCTTGAATAAAGTCTTCCTTGCCTGTTTAATTCTGTGTGGTACAACTTTTCTTTGACAAAAGAAGATATTTAATGGAGATGAGGAGAAAAATGAATTGAAAGGCTAGAATGTTAAGCAGATCATCTTTTGGGAAATTAAAGCCATTCTGGATGCCCTTAGGTTCTTAGGAAAGCTGAGTCAGGTGCTGAAATATCCAGTGAATGAGGGCTAGTGACTAGAATTTACATAGATAACTATGCCCAGTGAAACAAAAGGAAGAGGAGGATGTTTTATGCAGGTGAGAGAAATGATCTGAAGGTGTAAAATGGAAGGAGAGAGGCAAAGAATCAGCTCCAACAACTGAAATTTATGGTTTGTGAGAGGCAGAGAGCATCATATTCCCCTGGGGTTAGCTGGTTAATGCGTTGGACTCAAAGGATGTTAAGTAGTTCTGTAGGAATCTGTTAACTTCATGATGGGAATTCCAAAGCGAACAAATTTTTAATAATAAATAGAAGATTTTTAAATTATATCTATTGTCATTTTTACTATGATCATACTTATATAATTATTATATTCTTCTGCTTTTTGTTGTTCCATTGAGATTATCTACAACCTACCTCTGACTGAATCTTCATTTTTCAAAGTGCTCATACCAATTCTTGCTCATTTATTTTTCCAGAATATTTCAGATTAACTTAATATGGACCTCAAAAATGTATTAAACATTTTTAATTAAAATAGCTAAATTTAGGAATCCATGTCGAAAGTTGTGTTTTTGTCACTGTATTTGCTAAGCTATTTCGGTGTTTTTCTTTTCTAAAAGGCTTAGTAAAGGTTTGTAGAGTTTTTGAAAATGACAAGAAACTTTATTTTGTTAAAAATATTCATATTTGCGGGGCTCCTGGGTAGTTCAGTCAGTTAAGCGTCTGACTTCATCTCAGGTCATGATCTCGTGGTTCATGAGTTAGAGTCCTATGTCGGGTTCTGTGCTGACAGCTCAGAGACTGAAGCCTCCTTCTGATTCTGTGTCTCCCTCTCTCTGCCCCTTCCCTGCTCACACTGTCTCTTTCTCTCTCTCAAAAATAAGTAAACATTAAAAAAATTAAAAAAAAAATCATGTTTGCATGTCTGTTGACATTTAAAGTTACATCATTTGTATTTTGTTTCTTAACACATAATTGCGTAATTAAATAAATGATATTGAATTTGTGTAAACATAACATTGCCTTGTATTCAGAAAAATTATTGAACTCATAATTTTTAGTAACTTTTTAGTTGATTAGCTTATACAAATTTTGAGATACAAATAATATACTCTGCACATAATAAGAATTTTGATTTCTTCTTTACAGTAACTGTAAGTTTTTCTTTCTTACCTTATTACATTATGACAAAAATTTCTAGGTAATTCTTATTTTCTGGGTTAACAGAAAATCATGGCATCATGAACCATAGAAGTTTTGTAAGCTTTTACAATATACAGTTGATTCTTGTTATTTGTGGTAGTTTTCTACATAGGTGTCATAACCACTGAATTAACAGATACTGAACTATTTCTCTGAGGGGAAATATACAGTTGTGTTTCTACAACCTCTGGTCACAACATTTTTGTCAACAGAAATGCCATTTACGTTACATTATTTGTTAGCCAATGTCCTCATAAAACATGCCTGTCTCATCAGCATTGAAAGCCTTCATTTCCTCATGTATAAAATTTATATTTTTTGTATAAAATTTTTCTGTATAAAATTTAAGAGGTATTTTTAAAGAATATCTTAAGGAGGTATTCTTCTACACCCTACTGATCTATAGCACTTGTTCAGCTGAAAGTTTTATGCTCTATCACCTTTTGAAACATGCAAGCCATCTAGCACTTTCAGAAGAAAGCTGATAGTTACACTTTTTTATACTATTATTAGCTTGTCATCTCATGAACTCACAAATTTAACTGCTTTTCCATAGCTTCATAACATAGAACAGATGTTACTTTAGCATTTTTCTGGACAGCTTCATGCATTGATCAGTGAATTTTATCTTTTTTTTGGAATGTACTATATTAGTGATTTATTCACATTGATCTCATGGCCAACAGCATTAGAACTCATGTCTGAATGAGGCTTATCCGATGCACATGTTTCCTCCATAATATTTCTTCTTGTGCTTGGGAATACTCACCAGCACTTCAGCACAACATTTGTTGGGGGCATTTTAAAGAATACAATCACCAACCAAAAGCATAAAGATGCAAAAAATGTAGCATTAAATAGACTACAAAAAGAATATTTGTTAACTGTATGAGAGCTGTGGCAAGGAGGCAAAGCATCATTTTGTCTAATCTTAGCTGGTAGTAGGTACTCTGGTGACTCAAAGTTTTCATGTCTCTGCACATGTCTGTTAATGACCATGAAAACACTACAAATACTGATTTTGGTGTTATAAGTAAATTTTAGCCAGTAGGCAAATGGGCAAATGTGGAATCTGTGAATAATGAACATTGACTATATGGTCAAATAGGTAAAAGTGTCCTACCAGGCAAGAAAATACTTATTACTAAAATTTCAAATTATATCTAAATAACACTGAGTGGCCTACACAGATAGATTATAAGTAATGAGATAGAGGAAGATATACTATGCTAACATAATGAAAAAAAAGCTGGAGTAACTATATTATTTTTAACACAAAAGACTTCAGAAGAAGGAAAATTATTAGGGATAAAGAGGGCCATTCCATAATGATAAAGGGGCCAATTCTCCAAGATGATATTATAAATCTTAATGTGTGTGACCCCGATAAAAAAGCATCAAAATACATGAGGCAAAAACTGATAGAATTGCTAGGAGAAACAGATGAATCCACTATTTTATCTGGAGTTTAATGCCTCTTTATCATAAATGGATAGATTCAGCAGGCAGAAAACTTGTAAGAACATGGTTGAAATGAGCAACATCATCAATCAAGTCGATATAACTGATATCTATAGAATACTTCATCCAACTGCATCCAAGGAAAGCAACGGATTATTTATTCTTCTATAGCTCACGTGTAACACTAAGACTACATAAAATATACCTTAACTGGTTTAAAATAATAGAAACTATGCAAAATATTCTCTCAGACCACAGTGCAATTAAACTAGAAATAAGTAACAGAAAGATAGCTGGACAACTCTAAAATTCCTGGAGATTAAACAACACACTTGTAAATAACACATGGGTCAAAGTAGACTCAAGAAAATTTAAAAAATTCAAACCAAATGAAAATGAAAATATAAGCTATTAAAATTTGTGGTATGTAGCAAATGAAATGATTAGAGGAAATTTTGTAGCATTGAATAAATATGTGGGAAATTAAGAAAGACCTAAAATCACTAACCTAAATTTCCACCTTAAGAAATCAGAAAAAAAGAACAAATTAAATCTAAAGTGGGCAGAAGCAAAGAAACAATGAAAATTAAAGTAGAAATCAATTTAACTGAAAACAGAAAATTAATAGAGAAAAGCATTTAACCTGAAAGCTCATTCTTTGAAAAAAATCAATAAATTTGGTAAGCTGCTAGCCAGGTTAACTAAGAAAAAAAAGAGAAAAGATATAATTACTAATATCAGAAACGAAAGAAGATATGTTATTACAGATACTATGGATATGAAAAGAATAGTAAAGGAATACTAAGAACAACTTTGTGCCCTCAAATTTGATACTGTAGATGAAATAGACAATTTCTTCAAAGACATAGTCTACCTAAACTCACACAAAGAAAAATAGACAATATGTATAGGCCTATGTCTTTTAAAGAAATTAAATAAATATTAAATAACTTGTCAGAACAGAAAGCACCTGGCCCTGATGGGTTCACTGGTGAACTCTACCAATTTTTTAAACATTTTATTTTAGAAAGAGAGCATCAGTAGGGAAGAGGAGCAGAAGGAGAGAGAGATT